TGTTTCAAACTGCAAGCTCAGAGGCCGGCAGCGGCAGGCGGGGAACGTTGGCTTCCTCCGTCACTGAAGCAAGCAAGCCTCATGTTCGCTTCAAGCTGCCTGGCTGCCGGCCGCCATCTTGGCTGGCAGTTAATTTGCATATTGCCCTGATTAGCCAATGGGAAGGGTAGCGGAGGTACGGCTAATTACCATGTTTCTCTTTTATTAGATAGGATTATCCAGGGCTAGATCTCATTCGATTAATTAGTTTGAAAAAGACATACATATTAGCAAAATACTGGTAAAAGGTTTATTGTAATAATACAATAAAAGTTTAGAAAACATTTGTATGACTCAATCTGGTTTGGAAGTTGCAGAGCAATGGGAAATTCCTGCAACATGACACCACGGAAGAGATTCCCAGACACTGTAGTTCTTTTAACAGCATGCCACCAAATGCTTTTTTCCAAATTACCAACACACGAATCCTTAAATGTATCCTGTCTGCTAGACCCAATGCTGACATGTTTTTTGTCTTAACTTACAGATGTGCAAAACTTTTCTTAGTCGGACTCCATTACAAAAAAGTCTTTAGCAAACCATTTTAAGTGGCCTATTGGTGCCTCTGGATTTTTATTAGTATTATTTTGTTTCAACAAATCATTTTAATGTGGAATAAAGGACCAAGGTCTATGGCTTTTTGTTTAAAAATAAAAACCAGCTTCAATTTTTTAAAAAGCTGTTTACATATGGTTCTGGAACCTACATGAAAGAATTTAATGAGCAGCAAAAAGAATAGAAAAAACAGTGGTTGAAATGTATACTTAAGAATATTTACAGGGTGGATCCAGTGCAAAATAATGAAAACCAAAATACCTCAGCAGTGTAAGCCAGTATGTTGGTGTTCATAACCACTAAAGGGTTTGATCATTTTAACCCTAAGTAAAGTGCCTCTAGTTGATAACAACAACAAAATATACCCTATCAATCCCTACATCTCCCATATCCTTGCACGGTTTGTTGAATTACTCCAGTTATGAGTTTGTGATCTCTGGATTCTGTTCTTAAGCTTCATCTCACATTCATGGTTTCCAAGAGGCTTATTTGAGAACAACCGTGACTATTGTGCATCTTTCAGCTGAAGTCAAGCTCTACCCTCAAGCCCCAAATCCCAGTCTTTCAACTCTTGAGACTAAGCTCTTCTTTTTGAGGGTTGGAAGTACCTGGTAAGTCTTACCTCATGGGATTTTAAGTTCACTTGGTGTTTCTTAACTCTACGAATTACAGGCCTGGATGGTACAACACAAGCCCAGCAACATAAAGCTGAGCAGTTAAAACAGAGCCTGTTTCCTCCTAAAGTGGCAAATTCATACTCAGGGAACTTGGGACTCCTGGGTAGGAATAAACAACCCTTCTGCAACTCTACCCCAAACTCTGCCAAACACTAAATATACCAATAGCAAAAGCTATATAGCACCTCGGGTTGGAGGCAAAGATCATCTCTAATAATTACAACGAGAAAAGAAGCTAGGGCAGGGCAAACCCCCAAGTGATTTATCTGAGGTACTATCATGCTAATCACACTAACAAGATATGGTAATAATGCCTGTTAGGAATTTTTCATAGGATTTCTTTTTGTAGTTACATAGGATTTTTTTTTGCAGTTATTAAAAATAAACTACTTACATATTTGTACATAATGCCTCTCTATGGTTTTCTTAAAAGATTGTCACTAGAGAATGACAAGAAACGAGCTGAAAATGGTCTCTTGGTGAGGAAACATCCTTCCCTGGAGCTTCCCCTAGGAGACAGGAGGAGTACCAGCTATGATTTCCTCTGCATTTCTGAGGAAGGTAGTGTCCTTAGAGCAACAAAGACTTCTAGGAAACAGGCAGGATAGCTTTCCCTGGAAAAACCTGCCACCTACTATATCCCTTAGAAACAAATTGGACACCAGAAGACTACTAAAGGCCACTTAATTAAAAGTGGCTTTTACTAGTAACCTCATTAGCAAACAACCTTAATGACTTAATCTTTCACTCATAGAAAATAAGTTTCATTTCAAACTGCACATAGTGTAGATGGTAGGAATTCAATAATCTAGGTAAGAATGAACTAAATTCCACTCAGAATATAAGAAAATAGGTTTACAATCTCTAGGACATTATTGCAGCTAGAATTTCTTCTGTTCATGGATGTGGGTCCTAAAGAAAAGAGCTTAGTTTCTTTGGTGTGTGGGGAGAAAGAAAAACAGGAATGTCTGATGAGCTACGACAGAGCAGCACAAGTGAAATAATGTTTAAATTACTCCCCGTCCCCCTTCCCCCCCAAAAATAAACACCACCCTTCCAAACAAAACCAAAATCCTTGACCTAAAAACCAAACGTGACCAAATTATAAAGAAATCGAGTATCTCAAATTGCCTGCTGGTTTTCTGTACAAAAATGATCGCATAAAAACGAACTCATATTAAACAGTTTTTTATCTTTCAAGTCCTAATCATCAAGAATCAGTTCCTTGAGATTCAATCTCTACAACATAAAGTGACAGGAATAGTCTCAGCATCACGAGGACCAACATGTCAGCCGGGTCCGGGTCCTCTGGCCTGTGATCAGCATCACGAGGACCAACATGTCGGCCGGGTCTGGGTCCTCTGGCCTGTGATCAGAGGGAGCCTAGATGAATTTCTGCCTCAACAGAACTGGCCTCGTGCACTGGTCCTCCTTCCACCAACACTAGTCTGGGTAGAAGGACCTTTGACCCCTCTGTTTTATTATCCTCAGTATGTCTGTCACCACCATTGGCCATTTGACAAAGAAATGCCTATCTCCCTGCTTTAAACAACAAAAATAGTTTAGCCCTAGCCAGTTTGGCCTGTGGACTGAAGAGTCTCGGGTTCGATTCCCGTCAAGGGCACACACCTGGGATGCAGGCTCGATTCCGGGCCCCGACTGGGGCAAATGCAGGAGGCAACCAATCAATGTATCTTTCTCACATCGATGTTTCTTTCTCTGTGTCTCTCCCCGCCCCTTCCACTCTAAAAATCAATGGAAAAATATCCTTGGGTGAGGATTAACAACATCAAAAAAAACAGTTAAAAAAAACTTTTTGTTCCAGGCATGATCTTACCTAAATACATAGTTTACTAGTTTACTTTCCTGATGCAAATCTGGCACATTGTGATCCATGCTCGTTAACGGTGTCCAGTGTAAGCTTTAAACCAGGAGGTCACCGAGGCTGCAGCGGAGGAGATCATCCCGCCCGCACTGCTGCTGGCGATGGGCGGGGAGGCCTGGGTGCTCTGGCTCTGCGAGACTTCCACGGGCTGGGAAGGGATGTCACAAAACCGGGGGCTTGGCAAGTTCTCCCAATCTGTGCCCAAGTCGGTTTCCTCATCACTTATGTGCTCGTCTCCACTCTCATCTGATTCTCCAGCAACTCCGGGATCCACAAATTCCATGGACTCCTCGAGGTCTGCGCGCACTTCAAAGGGTCCCGACCTGTGTGCCGACAGTGAAGGGTCTCTAAGACACCACCGTTCTCACAACACGTGACACGGGTGACAGGAGACCTGATGCATGTAGGAGACCCAGAGCTATCACTGCATCCGTTCCCTAAGTCTGCACTGTGTCCACTCACTGTTGGTCTATAATTCAGTTTTTCTTTATCTAAATAACTGTCATCCAACTAATGAATAATACCACACGTCTCAATTCTACCTACTTTATTTGTGAAGACCCTGGACAGAAAAAAACCCATCCCGTGAGACCATCCATTCTGGTTCACAGTATGATTGTTTTAAACAACTGTACTATCTATACATTCCAATGACACAGTTTTGACAAAAACAGTCACATGATGTATATACTCGGGTATATTAGTTAGTGGAACCAGTATCAAATGGTATACAAAGGAAATTAAGATGTTCTCTGCCTATGGAAGCCCTCAATTATTAAACTCAAGACCCAAAGGGGCTAAATGATATGGCTGTGTACATGTTAGCAAAGCCTCCTGGGACTGGTGTCACAGCCGGCTCCCGCACACATTTTAAGATATCATCACACAATTTTCTAGGGACACGTTTGTGGCATAAAATGAGATGTGATTATTTAAAATATATTCATCTGGAATAGTACATATTCCTGCAAGGTCTTTCAGTAAAACATTTTATTGCCCAAAGTTCCCTAGTAATGTCTCCACCTCCAAATCTCTCAACCTTTCTTTCTCAGGCCGCACTCCCTGTGACAGCCCCTCAGTGCCTCCGTGTGGAACAAACCCCACCAGGCCTGCTTCTCCTTGTCCCTTTCCAGTGCCCGTCACTCCTGCCTCCTGGGAGCCAGGCTGCATCTTCTCCAGGGGACTTCCTGCAACCAGCTATAGGGTGGGACCAAGTCGCTTCAGCAGCCTCTAGCTCTCCATCGTTGCTCCCAAGTAAGGCCCAATGCCTCAGTTCATTTAAGAGGTTCTCTAGTAATTACTTAGGGAGAAATGACAGAGGACAGCAAAAATAACAGAAATGAGAAATACCTTAGGAAAGTATAACCTGCCCTTTAGTCTGTGGTCCCAAATTCTTTATAGTATAATGACAAAAGCCTAGCGTTGGCCTCCAAGCGCCTCCGCAGACCTGCACCTCTGACCCGCTCTTCCAGGGCCAACTAGACTTCATTCTTACAAGACAGCCCTGCTTCCCAGCTGGGGCAGCAATAGCTAATGTTTTTGCTCTAGGCCAGGGGTGGGCAAACTTTTTGACTTGAGGGCCACAATGGGTTCTTAAACTGGACCGGAGGGCCGGAACAAAAGCATGGATGGAGTGTTTGTGTGAACTAATATAAATTCAAAGTAAACATCATTACATAAAAGGGTACAGTCTTTTTTTTTTTTAGTTTTATTCATTTCAAACGGGCCGAATCCGGGCTGTAGTTTGCCCACAGCTGCTCTAGGCACTGTTTTTAGGGCTTTACAAGTTTTCATTCATTGGAAGATGTGCCACAGGGTTTCCCATTGGTCTCTAGTGAACAATTTACATTCCAAGAAGCCCCTCAGACCAGGGACTGCCAAGCTTCCCAGGCCTCCACCCTGCCCCAAAGTTGTGATTTTGCAAGGGCTGAAGGGAACAAGAATTGGGAGGGGATTCTCCCCACAACCTTCGTTCCTCCCCTTGAAACTTTTCCCATAAACCCAACAACCACTGCAACCTGTTTCTTAGCTCTGAGTGCCCCTTTTCTGTTTCCTCTGGTTCTCCTTACAGTTTACTTATTTTCTCCCTTTTTGCTTTTCCTTGGCAAACAAGTCCACTCCAAAGACTTTTTTCTTTTTTCCTCCAGATTCCTCTCCTCCAAGCTCCAATCCCAATCACCCGTCTGTCAGAGCTCCCCGACTGAGTGCTACTAACCACACTCTCATCTCGGGTATCTGAGCCAGTCAACAAGGTCTCAAAACACGGCCAGCTGGGATTCCTCCCTCCTCCCTCACCCTCCTGCCTGACACCACCAAATAAGTCCCCTTCCCATCCTCAGTGTGTCCCCCAGCTCTGGTCCTCCCTCTATTGCTACCACCGCCAGCCAGTCCTGCCCCCCACCCACCTCAGCTTGCCGAAGAACTGTCCCTCTCATGGTGTTTGCCTATTAAAAATGTTCATAATTTACCAGGCCAGTGTGGCTCAGCGGTTGAGTGTTGACCTATGAACCAAAAGGTCATGGTTCAAATTCTAGTTAGGGCACATGCCTGGGTTTCAGGTTCTATCCCCAAAAGGGGCCTGCAGGAGACAGTGATCAATGATGTTTCTCTCTCATTAATGTTTCAATCTATCTATCCCTCTCCCTTTCTCTCTCAAAATCAATTAGAAAAAAGAAGTTCACAATTTAAGTGTCTTAGCTGGTTTCCCTCCTTTCCCAAACACAAGGCTCTCGGATTCTGTTCTGTTCAGTTTTGCTGTCTGGGGGTTAAGTCTTCTGACTCCCCCGGCTCCCTCACAGGTCCAGGTCAGCTCTCCACCATCACTACACTTCCTTTCTGCTAGCCTTGAGGCTGCCTTATCTACTCTTAGGGTCCTTCTTGGCATGAGACTGCTATTGTCTCCAGATCCCCTCTTGAAGGGTTTTTCCAGGAGACAGGCCTGAGTGATACACGGGGGGAAGTGGCACATCCTTCAGGCGGAGGCCCTCACTGGAGCCACTGGACCCGTTCTCTGCTTGGAATTCCAAAGCGCAGAGTCCACTTGGCATGGAGCAGGCGCTCAATTAAGAACCTCACATGAGAAACTAGTGGATGATTCCCACAGCGGTCAGTAGGAACAATTTTAGTTCCAGCAACTAGCCTACATTTCTAAGCACCACCAGGAGCAGAAGAGACCCTTACAGAGGCGGCTGGGACATTTCTCTACTTGACGCCCTTCTCCCATCACTTCCAACATAATCTACTACCTGCCCAGCATGCCTGGGCCACACACACGTCACACAGAACTAACTAGCAAAAGAATTAAGTCTTTCTGCTTAATGTCTTTGGGAAATACAGATTATAAAATAATTCTTCTAATTTTCAGTTTAGCTGAATAAGTGACATCTTTTTATTCAAGACACTGAAGCCAGAGCATTCATTTTCTCATGATACAGGATGTTATCCTTATCGGTTAAGGCAACAAGATGATTGATCTTTTTGGCTTTTTAAAAGTCTCTTTTTGCCAACAGCTTATTTCAAAAATATTATAGAATGTACGGCATCAAGAGTAAACTCTAGACTTTGGATGATAAGGTGTGAATGTAGGCACCAGCACAGTAAAGACTGGCTCAGATAAGACTCGTCAATAGATAATAAACCCAGGGGGGGATTCTGAATAGGAGGACAACTGCACAGTCCCACACTGCAAGGAAGGAAGCATGTAGGAATCACACGGCGGCGAAGTCAGAAAGCATCTTGACAGTGAATTAACATCACCAATAAAGGACAGTTGGTCAAGTGTGATATGTGGAGATACTCCCACCTAGGAAGTGTCCCAGCCTAAAATGCATAGCCTGCATCTCACTGCAAGGAAACAGCCAATCGCAAAATGAAAGTTCTATTTGAAAAATGAAAATAATGTCATAAAAGACAAAGGCAGCTGTGAAAATGTTCCAAATTTAGAGTCATAGCAATTAAATGTACCACCCGACTCTAGATTGGATCCTGGAGGGGGAAATGCTATAAAGGACATTATCTGGTGCACTGACAAAACGTGCATATCGGCAGTAAAGTATTACATCAATGTTAAACGTGCTGATGTTGATAACTGGGCTGTGGTTAAGAAAATATTCCTCCCACCCCCCCAAAAAAGAAAATATTCCCATTCACATTGAACTATTTAGGGGTCAGGAGCCATGACATATGTAACTTATCCTCACAGAGTTCAGAAAAAAAAATTTTATGGAGAGAGAGGAGGGAGGAGAGGGGGAGAGATTGCACAAATGACAAAGCAAATGGGGTAAAACATTAACAAAGATGAATCTGGGTAAAGGGTATATGCATCTTTGTACTATTTTTTGATTTTTCTGTAATTTTGCATTTATTTCAAAGAAAAAAATAAGTTATGTTGGAGTCAGGATGGAATCCTCAGTTTAGCTGGTCTCCATGGAAACAGGAAGTCCCACCCAAGTTCCATTACCAGTCTCTCTAAGCCTGACTGAGGGAGGTGTGGAAATGGGGTTCTGAAGCGCCGACCTCCTGGTTCACAGACCAGGAAAGCTCTGATGTGACGAGAGCCTGGCTGTGTGTGTGCACGTCTCTAGGACAGAGCCTTCTAAATGGAGGGCTGACTCAAGGGCAAGCCCAGAGAAAACTCAGATCCACAAGGAAGCCCACCCCTAATACAAGATTGCCAATTTTCCTAAACAACCACCAACACTGGATATCATGTCCTTTCCTTTTTGCTAACCTGACAGATGGAAAATGGAAACCTGCTTTGAGTTGCATTTCTTTATTCTTGATTGAGGCTAAAGATGTTTTTCATCTGAATTGTGACTACTTGCATTTCTTTTGTGTGAACTGCCTGCTTGAATACTTTCTGTATTTTTTTATGAGGTTGCTTGCCTGTCTTTTATTGACCTGAAAGATTTAAGGAGTCTGGATTTTAATCCATTGTCTCTTATAGAGACTGCAAAATATATCTATTGCTTGTCTTTTAACATTGTTTATGGTATCTTTTACCAGAGACATTTAGAGTTTTTCCATAGAAAAATATGTAACTCCTTTCCTTCATGGTTTTTGGGTTTTGTGGCTTGCTTGGGAATCCCCTCCCCACCCTATGATTATAAACACTCTTTTCTCCTAGTTATAGTTTTTAAAATTAAAGTCTTTTATTTCATCTGGAATTAATTTTTGTATGTGGAATGTCATATAAATCCAACATTTTCTTCATATGAATACCCAACTGACCCACCACCATTGAGCTATTATGATTCAACATGCCACCCTTATCATATATTATTTTCCCACATACACAAGGGTCTGTTCCTGGACTCTCTTCTATTGTTTTAATTGCTCCACCGATTTGCATGCTAACAGGGTCTTGTTTTAATTACCTTTATACTACGTTTTAAAAGGGGCCAAGACCATCCCTTATTATTCTTTGTCAAAATTTCCTTGCAGACTATGCTTCTAGTTAAACATTAGAATCAGCCTATCAAAGTTCCATGAAATATCTGCTAAAATTCTGATCAGGTTTCCTTTTTGGGAGAAGTAGCACTTTTACAATACTGAGCCTTCCTCCTAGAAAATCACCACCCTGGCCTTCTTGCATTCAGTGCCACACCTCATACAGTGCTGGGCAGACATTCAAAAATTACAGGTTGAATATTTTTTTTAGTTCCAAAATTTTCTTTACATAAATTTGCATGTACTTTGTAAGGATTACTTCTCTATAGTTTATAGCGTTTGTTGCTAAAGTAAAAGGGATCTTTTTTCCCATTACTTTTTTTTTTAACAAGTTGTGGTTGGCACATAAGAAAGCAACTGTTTTAATGTATGTTGCTCTTATATTTAGACACCATACAAGTATCATTTCTAACAGCTTCGTAGTTCTTTTGGGTATCCAGTGTAATCATACCATCTACAATAGATCAGCTTAGTTTCCTTCTTTCTAATATAAATGCACCTTATTCCTTGTTTAAAATGTCCTGCCTTGGCTGGGCCTCCAGAGCCATGTTAATGTAGCAGGGCAAGCAGGGCACCCTTTTTCTTCCTGACGATATGCCATTAAACTAGCTTTTGCTCCATGCTTATGGTAGGTATCCTTTATTAATCATCTCTTTTTAATTTGATAGTTTTCTTTATTAAGGGGAACTGAATTTTATCCATCGCTTTTCTGGCATCTGTATAAGGATAGTCCTACGTTCTTTCTTCTTTAGTATGTTAATGTGATAAAGTTAATGTGCATGGTTAAAAGCATGAGTACCGCCCTGACCGGTTTGGTTCAGTGGATAGGGCGTCGGCCTGCGGACTAAAGGGTCCCGGGTTTGAGTCTGGTCGAGGGCATGTGCCTTGGTTGCGGGCACATCCCCAGTGGGGAGTGTGCAGGAGGCAGCTGATTGATGTTTCTCTCATCGATGTTTCTAACTCTCTATCCCTCTCCCTCTCCTCTCTGTAAAAAATCAATAAAATATATATTTTTTTAAAAATAAAAGCATGAGTACCTAGTACTTGGGAGTCGTCAGCCAGGTGTGTTGGGACCTGGCTCCACCACTTTTACTGGCTCCGTGACCATGGGCACGAGTTAGTTGGCCTGCTACCACGTTGCCCCCTGTGTGAAAGTAAGGATAATGATCCTGCCCTGGCTGGTGTAGCTCATGGAGTTAGTGTCATCCCATGCACCAAAAGGTTTGATTCCCCATGAGGGCACATTGCAGCCTCGATCCCAGTAAGGGGGCGTGTAGGAGGCAGCCAATCAATGTTTCTCTCTCACACTGATGTTTTTTTCTCTCTTCCTTCCTTTCTCTGCAAAATCAATAAAAACATATTTTTTTAAAAAGAGAGATTTAAGACATGTAAAGTGTCTAGCCCAGTGTAAATAAATATTAGTCCTTATTACGAATAATAAATTTCCTAACATTGAACCATTTACAAATAAAGTACAGAGAGGATGGCAAGCAAACCCATGGAAATCAACCACTAAAATTAGGATGGATTTCTAAAGGTTTTCTGTGGCTCCTAAATTAATGAATGGGATTTGGGCTAAGGAGTTTGAAGTCCCTATACAATGGCAAAACATTCAAGGTGCATGTGCAGTTTCCCGGAGAGAGTCCACAGCTCTTTCCAAAGTTAACTACTGTTTTAGGCAGGGGGAGGGAAGAGGGGAGAAACATAAGACAACCGTTGAAGGCAGACTGTCATAGAAAGTTCACTGCAATGTGAAGGAAACCAGGCATCCTGGTCAGTGGAGGGGACTCCCCTTGAGCCCTGGTTTGTGTCAAAGCAAATGAATGATGGGAAGAGACCCCACAAGAATTTTCCCACCTTTTATTTGTCTTTCAAAAGTACAAATACAATAGCCAAGCCCTATCTGCAGAAATGAATGAACAGACCTCTAAGAACAAGGAAAAAAGATCAGCACCTAGAGAAGGGGCTCTTGGATGCGACCAAAGATAAGCCTCATGAATGCCATGCTTTTTATGGGCTGAGAAACTGAAAAGACCCCATAGACCAGTCCTGGTTGGTCTTTTTTGTTACTCCCGTTTTTAAGCTAATGGATTTTAAACTATTCATCTCATAAACATCTCATACCCTTTATCCAACAAATGGTGGCCAGATTGACTCAGTGACAGAGAATTGTGAAGAACTGTTATGGGAAGGAATGAGCAGGCACAAAAGAAGATGCACAAGCAACAGGCTAGAGAAGAAACAGATGTGGATTCAAAGAAACGGCATTTGATCTTCAGGGACAGCACAAGAAAGGCCAGGAACCCTTGGGTTCTTCTGTTTTAGGTGTTAAAATGCTATTAATTTCTCTGAGAAATGATTATGTTAAGAACCATAATGGCTCAAATATGATTAGCCATTGCTTCCTTCTATATGGGACTGCATTATTTTTGTCCTGTTTGGAGATTTGGGGCTGAGGAACAGGCCCCTGTACACTGCCAACACATACAACTCCACTTAGAAGTCATCACAACACTCAGATAAAAGCAACAAACACCTTTCTTACCTGCCTAGGTGTTCAGAATTCGGGCTGACCAGGTACATTAGATTCCTGAGGGTATGCAGTGGTTGTAATTGGTCTAAATTTACATGCTAGAAAAACAAAAACAAAAAATTGATTACTATTTTCAACCATGTTAAGAAATTAAAAATTAGTTCACAGCACATTTTCCATACCTGAGAAAAGCACAAGTAAAGAATATTTGCATTCAGTTTCTTTACTGCTCGAGTAAATTTCTGTCTGCTGAGATTTTCCCCACAAAATTCACTGTAAAACAAACATAATTTGTAAAGTTGTATTTTTTGGAGGAAATTCTATGTTACAACATTCATTTTGAAGAGTGTACTTTACACTGCAATTCAGTATAAAACTTACCCTGAGGCCTTTGCCTCTTAAATGTACTTAGAAACTTTCTAGGAATGAACTATTCCCCTCATGAACAATTTCACTGAATCTGTAACAATTACAAATACATAGATCCTTTGACTAAGCAATTCCACTTCTGAAAACTTACTGTACACAAATACTTGCAAACTAGTGAAATGATGAATGTGTAAGATGACCCACAAGTGTCAATAGAGGACTGGTGAGATCCTGGGACACTTATACAAAGGAAAACTCTGCAGTTGCCCACTTTATGCAGGATGAGAGCTGAAGGCCCGACAGGCCCCACACGATTTGCACTCCTACCTTCCTGATGCACACGGTCTCCTCTGTGCTCCTTGCAGCTCTCCTCCAGGGCTTTGCAGGCCTCTCTCTGCTCACAGCCTCTTTCCCCAGGGTCCACTTGGCTTGCTCCCTTCCTCCCTCAGGTTCACACATGATCACACACCTGCCCACTCAAACACTGCAAGCCCTTCCCTGCCTCCACATCCCCTTTCTCTCACCCTGCTTTAACGTTCTCCACAGCACATGTCACCATCTGACATACTGTTTATTTGTCCCTTCATTAAAGTTAAGGGCCAAAGGGGTAGGGATTATGCTTTCATCACCAATGTACCTTCTTAGTACCTAGAACAGTGCCTGGCACATAGCAGACACTCAATAAATATTTGTTAAATAAATAAAAACTTAAAAAGCAAAGGTGTTTAAAACACCTTGGTACAGCATGATACCTTTTGTGTTTAAAAGATGGTAACCATATTTATATTTGCTTGAAATGCAAGGAAAACTAAAGGTTGGTAGGAAAGTATTAGGATTTGGGTAGACTGTAAACCTTTACATTTTTTTTTTTAATTTTAAACCACGTTTTTATTATAAGAAAATCAAACAGCCACAGCTGGGTAGCTCAGTTGGTTAGAGTGTGTCCCAATACGCCACAAATGAACACTTGTCCTTGTATTTGTACTTCTTTTTTTTTAATATATTTTATTGATTTTTCACAGAGAGGGAGAGGGCCACAGAGCCAGAAACATCGATGAGAGAGGAACACCGATCAGCTGCCTCCTGCACACTCCCCACTGGGGACACGCCCGCAACCAAGGCACACTAGTTGGTTAGAGTGTGTCCCAATACGCCACAAATGAACACTTGTCCTTGTATTTGTACTTCTTTTTTTTTAATATATTTTATTGATTTTTCACAGAGAGGGAGAGGGCCACAGAGCCAGAAACATCGATGAGAGAGGAACACCGATCAGCTGCCTCCTGCACACTCCCCACTGGGGACGCGCCCGCAACCAAGGCACACGCCTCTGGCCAGAATCGAACCCGGGACCCCTCAGTCCGCAGGCCGACGCCCCATCCACCGAGCCAAACCGGTCAGGGCTGTATTTGTACTTTTGAAAGACAAATAAAAGACAAATGCTGATTTGATCCCAATGAATTTATAAATCAAGTGAAACAACAAATTGATGTTTTCTGTCTAAAATCATTTTAAAAACAAAAAACAAAATTTGCCAAGTGTTTCCCCAGTTCTTGCACATGAGCACACCCTCTGAATATCCTGGGTTTTCCTTCAGTTCTTTTTGCAAGTGGGAGAATTCTCTGTGGTCTTCTCAAACACTTCACATGCAATTGTAAGATAACACCAATTTGTACCACATGAGGCTTATGGAATTAATCTCAGTATCTATGGTCATTTCTGTCTGAATAACACTTAAATTCTTGATTTTGGATTCATTAGAACAAATGAGAACACAAAAAGAGCATAAGAGAACCACGATGAAGAAGACATCGCCGCCCTCAGTTACTTGCCTGTTGCACAGCTTTTTGGGAAGATTTATGTCGAGTATATGAGACAAAATGTTGGCCAGCTGAGTCGCATAGCACAGCGCAGCGCTGATGGTGTAAGCAGGGTTGTTATGCTCCATGTCTAAAGTGTAAAAACAACCACCACACACAGAACAACCTTAATTTCAGCAAAAAATACGAATGAACCTACATTTTATGATTTCTAATTTATCATTACATTTATGGTAACGTTTTACTCCTTCCTAATAAAAGGTCCATGTTTCATTGCTATGATTTTCACTGAGTGAAACCTAAGTAAGTGGGCCTAGACAGGCCCAGCATAAATGAAATTGAAGTCCCCACCCACAGCACGCACTCAGCGTACATGCTTTTGATGACAGCTTGCTTCCTGTCCTCCCCACTGGAAGGGAGGCACACCTGTCTGGGTGACACCACCTGTGTATCACCAGTACATGACTAAAGCACATCTCACTAAGTATGTGCTGAATGACTAAACGAACAATTCTCCACCAGAGAAAAGCTATGGGGGTGTTAAAGGATTTCTCTAGTGTGGTATTCAATCTCCAGTTAGGACTGCTAAACAAGCTCTTTACAAAGTTAAAAACTATCAAAATGGGATGGGACTCAGGCTAACTATGCTTCTTTAAATAGTGAGGTCTTTTTATATAGATAAAGCAGTATCGACCCCCAAGAGGAGAAATATCTGAAATACATGTTTCCAGCACATCCACAGATGGAGAAACAATATGTGGTATATCCATACAATGGAATGTCATTCAATCATAAAAAGAATGATACATACAACAATATGGATGAACTCTGAAAACATATAAGTAAAAGAAGCCAAACACAAAAGGCCATGTTTTGTATGATCCCATTTATATGAAATGCCCAGAATAGACACAACTACAGAAACAGGGTGCAGATTAGTGATGGCCAGGGCTCGGCTCTGAGGAGGGCGCTGGGGGTGACTGCTCCATGCCCTGGAGTTTGCATGTGGGGTGATGGAAATGTTCTGGAACTAGACAGAGGTGATGGTTTTATATCACTGTACATGTACTAAATGCCACTTAATTGTTCCTAACTGTTCATTTTGTTATATAAATTTTACCTCAATTAAAAGTATACATGTTGGCTGGAGCCATCCAGGCTCAGCCACCTGGTGTGTGGGTGATCGAATAAATTCGTAATCCCTCAACAAAAAAACAAACAAAATTCATGTTTATAAACACTTCCAAACACTGTCTTGCTTCTCACCAGGCCCCTGCGTGGTTTTCTTCTCTTCCACCCAATTGTAGTAGGCAGAGTAGTCCCCGTTGTTGGGAAGGCTAATCCAAGGCCCTGTGATGCTGATGCTGGTGTCCCCATTGTGGTCGTCACAGACCCATCTCCCTGAGTGGTAAGTCGTCCTCCGGGCTTCGGCAAGCTTGCTCACGGTGCTGGAGGTCATGGCACTGTCACTCTCTGAAGACACATCCGCGGGATCTCTAAAAATCAGAAGATGCATACGGGTTTCAAGGGACTGGGTTTTAAAGAGCAGGCAATATACTTGCCAAATATACAGAACACTGGGAAGAAGCACATGAGCACAGGAAGTGACGTGGAACATGCAGAGATAAGTGATTGCTATCAGAGATGAAGATCAAACCAGCTGTAGCACAGAAGTCCACATGGGCGTAAGGGGGCACCAGGAGCAAGGGCCTCAAATACCAGGTTCTTCAATGATTTGGTAGCAATATCCCTTTATATGCTTAAAAATTTCTGAGGACCTCAAAGAGCTTTTGTGTGTAGGGGTTAGGTCTATTGAGATTTGCTATATAAGAAATCCGAGAACATTTAAAATGATTAATTCATTAAAAAATAATAAAATTATTACATGTTAACATAGTATATCCTTATGAAAAAAATCTGTATTTTTCAAACAAGTACATTAGTAAAGAGTCAAATAACACAATACAGCACTGATCAACATTTTTTAAAAACCTCTATAATACCAAAGTCTTTCAATTGTTCTTTCAAGTAAAATAGTGTCCCATGAAAAAAGCAACTACTGCTTGCAATTCATTCAAGTGCTTTTCCTTGAGCCAACCATGGCACTTCGGTCTGCAGCAAAAGCAGCTTCTGCACATTTCCCATTTCATCATATACTATCTTAAAAAGGTGTGTTTGCAGGGCAAGCCAATAAAATTTAAATAAAAATATTTCCTATTGCTTCATCAAGAACACTGTTGCTGCAAAACTGGTTTTTGTTTTTGTTTTAATACTGCAAGTACATGGCAGAATACAATGACTATTACTGCAGCTTGGTGTCACTGCCTTGAGATGTCTGCCTTGAAATGTATTGTGGCACCAGAGGTTTTACCCACCATGGCTTCTGAGCCACCAGTGCAATGTCAACAGAGTGAAAAAGGAAAATAAAGTGTTAATATTATTATATAAAAACAGTTTGACTGCATGGACCCCCTGAAAGGGTTGCAGGGACCCACAGAGCCCATAGACCACACTTGGAGATCTGCTGGTCTGAAGCATGATGGGAATGAGAAGTCACAGCAGGCACAAATGCACAGGAGGGGAAGGACACGGTGTGTTTGGGAGCAGAGATGATCAGTGGAGTTGTGTAGAATACACAAAGGAAGTGCCAGGAGACGGTATTGGAAAGGTGGGTAGGAAATGGGAGACTGGGAAGGGCCTTTTGCACTGCACTAAGTTTAGATTCTGTTCTCTTGGCCAGTGGTTCTCGATCCTTTTTCTTTCTGCCACAACACACATAGCATAACGCCTACCGGCTATCACGGTTAAGGCCGGGGGACTAGGCCAGCTCCAAGCTGTAATGCTACTTCCTCCTTCTCCCACTCAAGGAAGTTTGAGAAAAAAGAATGAACATGAGCCCTAGCCGGTTTGGCTCAGTGGACAGAGCATCGGCCTGTGGACCGAAGGGTCCCGGGTTCGATTCCAGTCAAGGGCACGTACCTCGGTTGCAGGCTCCTCCCCGGCCTGGGCCCTCGTCAGGGCTTGTGAAGGAGGCAACCAATCGATGTGTTTCTCTCACATTGATGTTTCTCTCTGTCTTTCCCTCTCTTTTTCACTCTTCCTAAAAATCAATGGAAAAATATCCCCGGGTGAGGATTAAAAAACATAATAAAATAAAATTGTTTAAAAAAAAAAAAGAATGAACACGAAATCTTATTATAGAGGTAACTTCAAAATCATCAGTTTAAAAAAAATTAACAGTATATACTAATATATACTAACAGAAAAATTTAAACAGCACAGGTAGAAAGGAGAAAGTTTTTCTCCATTTTCTCTTCTGCAACTTTGTATGCAATTATGAGTCTCCATTCCAATATTGTTGTTGCCATCTGCACACATTCATCTACCATAAGATTCATAAAGGAATCAAATCCCCGCAATATTCCTTGGACATGTCTGCCACCAGTTAATTTCAAGGATAACTTCTTGTCCATAAATTTTGTTAACTCAGGAGGGTGAGCTTTGCTCATGTGTCTACTCATTGAGTTCAAAGCTCTCTCCAAAAGGAATCTGTGGCCTCTTTCATGTTCCCCTGGCAGGCCCCGGCCCACTACAATTTAATGTGGCATAATGTTTGTTTTGTCAGCTTTTTTACCTGCTTTGGCCTGACTAGTTGTCTTCTGGCCTCTTTCATGTTCCCCTGGCAGGCCCCGGCCCACGACAATTTAATGTGGCATAATGTTTCTGTTTTGTCAGTTTTACCTGCTTTGGCCTGACTAGTTGTCTTTTGACTCAATAGGTTATCCATGTACTACTGCTAAGAGTAGACTGAAGATACCCGGCGCTTGACAACAGCTAGTCAGCAGTAAAAGGCTGTCACCATGTAAGAAACCCCAAGCACCAGGTGCTTTCTTCCACTTTAGCTCCTGATCCTTGTGAAGTAGGCATTTATTATCCCTGACTTTGAGGTTCAAGAACCTGCCTCACAGCATATAACTAATAAACAACCCGATTGGGATTGCAGCTGACATCGGCCATCAGATGGTTTTTTGATCAGGGTGAGTCAGCACCTCATCGGGAAGCTGTAAGTGTACACAAGCTCCTCCGAGGGCCACCGCCCTTTACCTTGGCTGCCTCCCCAACTTCATGCAGTGTGCAGTGTTTGCTGAAGCAGATAAGACTTCATTCAGTTTAATTACCAGGAAAGCCAATGGCCCAGAATGAGGTCAAATAAATGAGGTGCTGACACACTTAAAAAATACTTGATTTTGGGACCTGATGTAGAGTCAAAAGACTTGCTTACTGTACCTCGCACCAGTCTTCACTTCCTCAATTGGGAAGATGACAGAGGTGAGCTCTAATATATGAGACCGCCGAAGATCTGCCAGACGCTCATAATGACTTTTTAAGTCGATGGTCTTTTTTTCTACTAGGTCCCCAAGTTTGCGGTTATGCCTCTGAATCTTCTCCTTTTTCTCTTGATGCCGTTGTGCTCGAGTATAAAGCTTCTGATTCTTTTCCTTGGTTTTGAGAAGGCCTTCAGAATCTAAAATAAATCAAACTCAACAATTATCTCTACAAATAGGTCCTGGAATCTAAGAACTCCCTTAGCTTGTGAGCATGGCAACTAGCCTGCATTATGTTCTAAAGAGCAGGGTTCGGGACCCCGGCAGACCATCAGAACCACCCAGAGCAGTGGACTCAAAGTGTGGCCTATGTATGTATCTGGGTCGGTCTGTAAACTTTTCCCAATCAGACAAGAGATGTACAGAAATACAGGCTAAGTTTAGAAAATGTTTTCTTTGACATGGCAATTTGACACTGCCATAAAATTCAAGCGTATGACCATCTTTCTAGTAATTTATTTTATTATACTTTATGAAAGTATTGGTATCAGTTTATGACAGATTGGAAATCAAAGAGAAACTACTGGTCTTTTACTACAGACAGTTTCAGAACCACTGACCCAGTCCCCATGCATGAGATTGTATTTCCTAAATCCAGGGTGGGTCCCAAAATTCTCTCTCTAGGTTTTAAAAAGGTTCCCAGATCTCTCTGCCAGGGATGGAAACCACTGTTTTAAGTTCACTGCTTTAGAACCATTCATTTTATTCTCTGTGGTTGCTGCTTTTGTATTTTGGTGCGAGGAATCTATTAGAGCTGATCAAAGTTTTAAACTTGATCACCAGAGAACTGCACAAGGTCAGTAAATTCAGCAATTTGAGGCGGTTCTCAGATACCTGGTAGCCAACCCCTGGGGTGAACATCACGGAAGCGTGAGGAAAGAGGTACACCAGGTTCAAGGTTAAATGACAAGTCCCTACACTGCTGCTGAACCAGAGGCTTTGGAGGATGTGTGCCAAACCCAGTGAGCAATTGACTATCTGCAGTCCTGGGTGCTCCTTCATCATGCTGCCCTGCTTCTCTCTTGTTAATCCTGTGAAACTCCACAGAACTGTATGAGGACAAATGTCTTCAAAGGAAGCTTTAACTCCACTATGTACCCCTTACAAGATATTGCTTCTGAAAGCAATGAACAGGAGAGGGATTCACAAGGTCTGATGGTGACTCATTCGAAACTTTAAACACTGACCTTCAGAAATACACAGAGTATTTCCAAGGATGTAGGATTTCTAAGAGAACTCTCTTAAATTTTGATAACCACATATTGATAGAGTATCAGTAAAAGTATAATGTAAAATTAATACAGATTAAAATATGTATAAAATACACTAATGGAGAAAAAAATATTCTATGCCTCTGGTAGGAACTAATAATTATAAATGGATTCCAACTTAGACTCGGAGTCTCCTCTTAGCTAAGGCAAATGGGAAACATATGTTCCTTAACTTTTTTAAAGTGAGAAAGGTAGCAGGTTATTTAAAGGTCTTTGTATAAGAGTCCCTTACACAAACGTTTCATATGGAGAGGAAGGTGAGCAGTAACTTTTCCAGGTTGCTGTTACCCCTATTCCTCTCTCTTTCTCTGCCTCTCTAGTTTATTAATCCCATGAAATTCCACATGAGCTCTTTATTAGGGCTGGAGGGAGGGGCTCCAATTACTTACTTTTCTTCATTTCTTCATTTCCTTTGCATATTGTTTGTTTCAGCTGTTCAATCCTCATCTTGCAGGACATTATTTTCCATCTCTTAAAAAGTATGCAATAAATATCAGAAATGGTCTCATAACTAATATGATTATCTACCCAGTATCACCACCCATTTTTCAGGTATATCTTAGAAAATATAATGAAAACTGTTATATGTATTATAGCTTCTATAACTATGTCAGATTACCAAAAAGAAAAAAAATGTGTTATTATGGCTCAATGCAGAAGCTGTTAGAAAATTAAAGAGAAATTCACAGAAAAATATGTTGCAGGATATTCTCTTAACATGCTCTGTTCAATATATAGCCACTGGGCACATGTGGTTATTTAAAAGTCAATTAAAATTACATAAAATAACAAAATTCAGCCTGGCCGGGGTGGCTCAGTGATTGAGCCACATGAACTAGGAGGACAAGGTTTGATTCCCAGTCAGGGCACACGGGTTCAATCCCCAGGAGCGAGCTTGAAGGAGGCAGCTGATCAATGATTCTTTCTCACACTACCCATATGTCTTATGCTTCTTTCTCATTACTGATGTTTCTATCTCTCTCCCTCTTCATTCCTCTCTCTAAAATCAATAAAAACATATTTTTAAAAATTCAGTTTCTTACTCACACTACCCATATGTCTTATGATCAACAATGCTCAACACATGTGGCTAATGGCTACCATCCATATTGGTCTGTGTAGATATAGAACATTTGCATCATCACAGAAAGTTCTGTTTATGCCCTGAGGATTAACAAAACAAACATAAAATGTTTTCTTTTATGGCTTATCAAGGTCCTCACTCCTAAATTACATAAAAACTTTCCCCTATTTCCTTTTCACATTTTTATGAGTTTACTTTTCACATTTAATCATTACTCCATTTAAACTGTGTGTGTTTATGATGAGTACGTTTTCTCCAAAAGGATAGCCCATTGTTCTTATATTTCTATGTCACTGCCAGACTTCATAACCTTTACAACAGCTCCCTAATGAACTGTCAACACCCCGTTTTTGGTCCCCAAAAAAATATCTGAGAAGTCCACACTACAAATATATTCAAAGAGAGGACTTCCAAAAATGAAAAAAAAACCAAAAAACAAATTTAAACTCACAATGATTTTTGAAGCACCACCAATTTAAAAACATATAACCTCAAGTACAAAGAATATTATTTAAATAGTTCTTACAGCTTACCAACTGATCTGTTATCCATTTTCCTTCCATAGCTTTTAACACTCTGTACGGAGAAGAGAGATACAGAATAAGCCCTTAAAAAATTAAATTTTATAAAGCTCAAAAATGTAAAATCAGCCCTAACCGGTTTGGCTCAGTGGTAGAGAGCATCAGCCTGCAGATTCAAGGGTCCCAGGTTCGATTCCGGCCAAGGGCATGCACCTTGGTTGCGGGCACATACCCAGTAGGGAGTGTGCAGGAGGCAGCTGATCGATGTTTCTCTCTCATTGATGTTTCTAACTCTCTATCCCTCTCCCTTCCTCTCTGTAAAAAAATCAATAAAATATATTTTTTAAAAAATGTAAAATCAACAACTTTTAAATACAACTTCTTATAAATGGCTTGAAATAGCAAAATGGGACTGAAGCAAAGTGTTTTCCAAATTCTCTTCTCTGCAATTTTTTCTCACGTTCTTCTTTTTGCACTTCTAACACAGTCCGGAGCCTTTCTGCAGACGTTCATCATAAACTTCCAGAACAGCCAGAGCCTTTGTCCTCAGTCATAACTAATAATTCCCGTCAGCCATAATTAATGATAGTTACAAGAGAACTCATGACTAAAAATGCTAAGATCATTACAGAAAGAAAAGGCACAAGCCAGTATCTGAGAATATTTGTTTTATGGAGTGAAGTGTTCTATAAAAATAGAAGTTTCTGCCCTGGCCAGTGGGGCTCCGTTGGCTGGAGCACCGTCCTGTACACTGAAAGGCTTTGAACCCCAGTCCTGGTGTGTGCAGGAAGGCAACTGGTCATTGTTCCTTCCCTTTCCATTTGTCCCTTTCTCTCTTTCTCTTCCCCTCTTTCTTAAAAAAAATAAGCATGGTGTCAGGGAAGAATTTAAATATAAATAAATAGTATCTATGGCTGAATAAATTAGAGAAATAACCAAGTTAAATTAATCCAAGCAGGTTTCTCTAATGCAGCGGTTCTCAACCTGTGGGTCGCCTAAGACCATCCTGCATATCAGATATTTACATTATGATTCATAGCAGTAGCAACATTACAGTTATGAAGTAGCAACGAAAATAATTTTATGGTTGGGTCACAACATGAGGAACTGTATTTAAAGGGCCAGAAGGTTGAGAACCACTGCTCTAATGTGAGGCATCTCAGGCTATTTAATCCACTTATGAATGTGTTTATCTGACCAGGGGTGTGTCTGCAGAACAGTGACTGGGTCCGTTTGGGATAGGAGACTCTATAGGAAAATTCTCAAATCCAGAGTGTGCGAGATGCACCGGCAGTGCTCAGTAATAACTCAGATTCCCAGGCCTCCCCTCAGACCTACTGAATCTGAATACCTGAGGATAGGATTTTAAGAATCTGCATCTTTAACCATTACCTCAGTTAATGAATTCTGATACAGATGATCTGCAGACCACACTTTGCAAAAACACTGATAGAGAAGAAAGCTAAATGGAAGCAGTAACATCCTATAGGAGCCACCATCACTAACTTAAGTCTAACATGCCTACTGTCCTGGACCCGTCTGCCACATACCAATGATCAGGCTGGGGGCTTAATTCATCCATCCCATCGCTAGTGCCTACTGTGCACAGGCACCAGGGCTGATCCCAGTATTTTCTAGAAACTTGATAACTCTCCTATTTTGCTTCTCCAAGATGCACTGCTCTTCTGTACTTTCAGATTATATCCTAAATTTAGTAATTTAGCAATCCATATATCTGCATATCACAGCACTGAATTAAACCACATAACCTCCACAAATTAAAAAGCCAAATGAAGACTCACTCTTTTTGAAATTCTTCCTGTTTGCTCTTAAGTTGGCTTAACCGTTCCTTCTTGTCTATAAACCTGTAAGAAAAAAAAATTAATGTTTTATTTAAATATTCTTTTTTTTTTCAGTTCAATCAGATTATATGAACTCTTGGGAAGCCAATCATTTCTGCAGACTCACCTGGAAATGTCACTGAAAGTAAGTACTGTACACAACTTCTCAATGGGATGCATGTGGCTGCTCACCACTTGATTATTTTAAAGTTAAATTCAAACTCTCAGCTTCAAAATTCTGTCATGGGTTTATAAAATGTCTATAGGTTTCCACCCCTAGGTTAAATTATTTCCAAACAGGCACATCAGAGCACTAATGTGAATTTTGAATTTAAAAAAAACTGAGGCTTCTACTATAAAAACTAGAGGCCTGATGCAGGAAATTCGTGCAAGAGTAGGCCTTTGCAGTCACAGCGGCTGCCTCAATCCCACGGCTGCAGCCCAGGCTTTGTCCAGAAGGTCATCTGGATGATCGTTTGGTCGATTTGCGTATTATGCTTTTATTTTTATAGATAATTTTTACTCTAGCCAGTTTGGCTCATTGAATAGAGCATTGGCCCATGGACTAAAGGGTCTCAGGTTGGAGTCTGATCAAGGGCATGTACCCCAGCCCTGGTTGGGGCAGGCAACCAATTGATGTATCTCTCTCTCTCTCCCCCACCCCCTTCCTTCCATTCTCTCTGAAAATCAATGGAGAAAATATCCTTGGGTGAAGATGAACAACAAAAAAATAAAAATTTAATTATTAAGCTTAATTTAATCCTTATATTAATCCTTAATTTGTTCCTTATATTTTTAAAGTACAATTTTTTCTCGCTTATTTTATTGCTAGTCATTGGAGACTAAAAAATTACTTAGTAAAAAGTTACCAAAAGGAAGGGATATCATATTGCAGTGAATCTTCCATCAGTCTTCTACTCTCATACTTATTATTTTCTTCCTGTTACCTATTTGGGTTTGCCCCTTTTTTGCAGCTTATGGTAAAAACTCAAATCATTGATTTTAGGCCCCCTTCTTTTTATATAACCATATAAAGTTATAAATTCCCCCCTAAGTATTGTTTTAGCTACACCAAAAATGTTGATGAAGTGTATTTAGTTTGAAATTTCTAATTTTCCATAAGATTCATTTGACTCACAAGTTATTTACAAGTATATTGTTTAATTTCCAGATATAAGGGCTTTCTTAGGTAACTTACTGTTGTTATTTTCTTAATTCTGATGTGGTCATAGAATATACTGTGAGATTTCAATCTTTTGATTTGAGACTGCCTTTCACTGGTTTGCCTCAGTGAAAGTTCCACGTGCCCTTGAAAGAACGTGTATTCTACAGCTGCTGGGTACAGTGCTCTATAAGGTCAACTAGCTGCAGGTGTCTAACAGTGTCATTCGGATCTTCTAGATCTGTGCTGTTCAATATGGTAAACACCAGTCACACGTGGCTACTGAACACCTGAAATGTGGCTTGTTGCTTAATAAGGATTTGATTTTAGAATCGCATGACTAACATTGTGCAACTGATTTTCAATTGAGTTAGCAGTGGCTCACTATTTTCAAGGAAACAATGGTGCTACAGCAACATGGTATACAGTCTAAGGACAGGCTTTTGCCTGTCTCCTGAATTTCTAGCCTAAATGAAAACAATTTAACAGAACAATAACAGCCCTAAAAATCTATTCCTTACTAGTCTCTCTAAAACACCATGTTTGAAACATACCCAAATGGTCTAATTATGACCGTGTAATAGCCACTGGAAATGTACAATCCTATCTAATAAAGAGGGAATATGCTCATTGACCCTCACGCCATCGCAAAGATGGCGCCAATAAGGAGGGAATATGCTAATTGACTGCCCCGTGCTCAAAAATGGAAGTGCCCACAGCCAATAAGGAGGGAATATGCTAATTGACTGCTACGCAGGCGCGGCAAGGCTGGGCCCACCCCCAGGCAGGCCCAGCCACGCCACTTCACATGCCTGCCTCCAGAGACCCCCAGTCCCCTCAGCTCCCCAGTCGCCCAGGGCCGGCCCGAGGTTCAGGCAAGCCTTGGATGTCGGCTGCCCAGCCGTCCAGGGCCACCTGAGGCTCAGGTAACTGGGGCTGGCCGAGGCTTGCGCTGCTGGCAGTGGCAGCAGCACAAGTGTGATGTGGGCATCGCCTTCCCCTGATCGCCAGGTCGCCTCCCGCCCCTGAGGGCTCCTGGACTGTGAGAGGGGGGCAGACCAGGCTGAGGGACCCCCCTCCAGTGCATGAATTTTCATGCACCGGGCCTCTAGTACATAATATATTAAACAAAAATGCAAATCAAGCCCAGCCGGTGTGGCTCAGTGGTTGAGCATCAACTCATGAACCAGGAGGTCACGGTTTGGTTCCCAGTCAGGGCACATATCCAGGTTGCGGGTTCGGTCCCCAGTTGGGACCCATGGGGGCTGGGGGCGCCTGAAACCAATCAATGGTTCACTCTCATGTTGATTTCTCTCTCTTTCTCTCTCTCTCTCTCTCTCTCTCTCTCTCTCTCAAATCAATAAAAACATATTTTTTAAAAAATCAGTTTCTCAGTTACACTAATCCCATTTCAATAGCCCCAAATGGTTGGCTTCTACCATATTGGAAAGTGTAGAAACAGAACACTATGGCAGAATGTTCTATTGGGTAGCACTGCAATGGCCAGTAAGGTGGTTAGTGCATGGAACAGTACTAGAAAACTCAGAAAACAATGTGAAATGTAGACAAACCCAGAGGCTCATCAATTAACTTATCAGGCTTTTATTGTGTGCCTGCAACTTATAACAAAAAATCTGCCACAATATTAAGAAATCTAATGATATGTTCTGTAGCTTGGACATATTACTTATTTGTTTTATGCTTCCACTTCCTTGTATATAAAAAAGAGAAACTAATGTGGTATTTATTTCTATTTCACTAAGGCAATGTGGTGATTCATGGTCCCGTAACCTGAAGGATAAGACAAACTGACAAGATTCATCAAACCATGCAAAAAAAAGAACTGACAGAGGAAAATAAAATCTTGCTTTTAGAAGTTATGAAAGTTCTCCTTTCAGATGTCATAAAAATGCCACTCCACTTTGCACTAGAACAAACTGGGATGACAAACAACTTTGTTCAGCTCTAAAAGCTGGTTGATTCTCTTGGGCTTTGTTAACAAACACACACACACACACACAAAATTAAAACAAATACAGTTGACAGCAAGAATAATAAACAGAAGACAATTCCTACTGTACCAAACAGTTCATGAGTCATGGTATCCTTGATGAAGGAAATTAAAACTAAATGGTGTTAACAAAGCTAAACAGCAGATGATATCAAGGAATGTGGCTGGGTCAGCATTTCAACTGCTCATCAGCACACTCATCCATTCTCTGCATTCTCCATCCCACTACTCATGGAAATAGATAAAAAATTCATTCCAGCCCTAGCCGGTTTGGCTCAGTGGATAGAGCCATCGGCCTGTGGACTGAAGGGTCCCAGGTTCAATTCCAGTCAAGGGCACATGCCCGGGTTGCAGGCTCCATCCCCAGTGGGGGGCATGCAGGAGGCAGTCAATAAATGATTCTCATCATTGATGTTTCTATCTTCTCTCTCCCTCTCCCTTCCTCTCTGAAATCAATAAAAATATATAATAAAAATAAATTTAAAAAATTCATCCCATAAGTCTGTGCTTTCTCAATATGGTTTCCAACAAATGGAAAGATTAACAAAAAGGTTGTGGGTTCCATTCCTGATAAGGGCATATATCTCCCCCCTACTCTTCTCTTCCTTCTAAAGTCAATAAGCATATCCTCTGTGAGGATTTTATTTTTTTAAGTAGGGGGAGGGAATCATATTATATGTACTTTCAAGTTGGGTTTATCACATAAAATATTCTGTATGTATGTTTTTCCATGTCAGAACATATAAGATTCTCATTCTTGAACAGATACACACAATTTCTTACAATAGACCTCATATATTTTACTTTTTAAAAAAAATCCTCACTTGAGGATATTTTTCTGTTGATTTTTTAGAGAGAGTGGGAGAGGAAAAGACAGAGAAATATCGATATGAGATAAACACATAGATTGGTTGCCTCCTGCACCAGCCCAATCACGTACCTGCAACTGAGGTACGTGCCCTTGACCGGAATCAAACCCGGGACCCTTCAGTCCAAAGGCCAACGCTCTATCCACTGAGCCAAACAGGATAGGGCATATAATCTACTTATATAAATTCCTATTAAACACTGCCAATTTTTCACTATTATCAATATTATGAATGACTATCTTAGTGCATAAATCTTTACAAGCTTTTAAGATTCTCTAAGAGAAATTCCAATAAGTAAAATAAATTGCTAGGTCAAATATTTACAAGCAGAATTCTGGCAGTTTAAATTTCTTCTGGATAATTCACAACCCCACCAGTAACAGAATCAGTTTTTTCATACCCTCCCTAAACATTGCACATTTTAGTCTTTGCTAACCTGATTGGCTTTCCCACCCCTTCCCCCCAAAGATAGTTCATAATTCAAATACTTTATTTCACTAGAAATGAATGCCCTTTCCCTATATAATTAACCATTTAGTTTTCTTTTGTTATTTCTGTCTATGTCCTTTGTCCATCTTTCTACAGTTTTTTAAGGATTAGGGAAATTAGCCATTTTTCTTTCATACATCTTGAAAAATCTCCCACCTCAATCTGCTTTCTGACTACTCATGTTTCTGTTCTACAGAATTTTCCAACTTTTATGCAGATACATTTATCAATTTTGTGTTGGTTTGTTCAATGACTTCAGTGTTTTGTGGTTTCTGAAAGGAATCTGCCAGTGAACCTGTACTGTGCGCCATGGCTTTTACAACAGTTTCCTATATTTTCTCACCCAATTTAAAAAGGCCTTCTACATTATCTACCAAATTTCTCCACTTATAAGATTTATCTTCTTCCCTAAAAAGGTACTTCCTTAAACTGATTACTGTTTCCTAAATTCTTCCATACTTTTACAACTAATTATATCTTTTCCATTAAAAAA